GCACGGGCTGGGAGGGAGCTGGGTCTCTCACCAGCCTGGGGCTTATTGCCAGGGGACTGGGCACCACTGATAGGTCCATGCCAGGAATCTTCCATACCTCACCGCATCCTCTCTGATAGTAATCTTTTCCAGGGTAGACATGTAATGTCACAGAGTTTTTTTCAGGGCTGACCTAGAATTCTCTGACTATCCGCTACTCTTCTGTTCTGTTCCAGAAGTGCAGTGTTGGGGGGTGATTTCAGAAGCATTTTTTTTTTCTGCCCACGGTGGTGTCTTGATAAAAGAACTTGGCTTTAGTCTGATCTCCAGAAACACAGCACATGGCGATGAGCTTTCTAGCTTTTGAAACTTCATTAAATATTTACATTTCTTCTTTTTGAAGGCTAAGAGAGAAATACTCTAGTTTTCCCGATTGCACAGAAAATCTTTCTCTCATTGATGAAATCATACCTATGGAATTAAGGGAAGGAAACCAGACAGAGTTAAAAAGCACAGTTTGGTGACTTGGAAAAGTATTGTGTTTAGTAACCTATATATATTGTATTTTGAAAGATAACTTCTAACTGATTATAAACTAGTAAGTTATGTACGGATATGAAATATATGCTATAAAATTCTTACAGAATTTATATTTAGAACAAGTATAACTGTGATTGCTGTAGTCAAAGACCACACCCTGTAAGAAAAGACAACTGGTGACAGCTGTAAGCCCTGCAATAAATTCCCTAGCAGCATACTCTGATACGTACTGAGGTTTGTAGGCTGGGATGTTTAACTTGGGAGCCTTCATTTTGTTCATGTGTCTGCAGTGAATGTCCCTACCGTGACACCATATTATGTAAGGCCAGCACATACCAGCACAGTATTAGAGACACAGAGGCTTTTGTAGTCTGCCTTTTTCTAACTTTGTCACTGATTTTGGCCAGCCTCACTGTATATTTTTGTTCATTTTGGTTTTAGTTGTGTTAAGTAGAGTGAAACTGTGAATGCTAAGTATAACAAATAATGAATTTTAGCCTTACTCTATGTTGTCACTGTGATACCCTGTTGGATTGTGCAGCTCCATGTACTCTTTAACTCCATCTATCCCCTATAAAACATACCTGGTAGATTCCTTCAGTAGATATATATATGAACTATTAAATATATGCACTACTTTATACATGAATTGACCATAGCAATTTCATAGAAATGCTGATATCGATATCTTCCATCTTTCTATCAGGGAACTATTGTGATAGAGACACTTGTGGAGAAGTGGCTAGATGTGTTCAACTATTCAGCAATTATACCTGCCTGTGCCACTATGGATACTACTATAACAACAAGAATTGTCTCAGAGGTGAGTTGCAGAAGGGAAATCTATATTTTTAGTTGCTTAACAGGTAAGTAATCAGGTGAATTTGTCTTCCTATATCCCCTGTTCTCTTGTTATAACTGAGAACATAATCAGACTGGGCAAGTGAGTGCAGAATAATGACTAGCTTTTCAGATGGTCACTGTTATGATGACCTAGCTTGTTATCTCACAAAACAGTAATGGCCAAAGAGGTTAATGTGCTAAGAAAAGCAGGGGAACTCTCTGCCAGGGGTCCTGGAGACTAAATTTTTTAAAAAGCAGGAAAAAAATGCATGTGTAAACCTAACATAATATTAGTGGCCAGGATTTAAAAAGGCTTAAACCCATGAAGACCTCTGAACAACCAGCTTGGTTTTCCCTATTGCTGAACACTCACCAGCCCTGTTGAGATGCATCTCTGAGATGCTGCTGAAGGCCAAGCACGTGCAGCTTCTTATTTAAGTGTCAGCAAGCAGGATTCTCAAATTTACTTGTGAGCCTAAAGACTCTGAATTGCTTTCTCAGATACAGTGAACCACATTAGCTGCTTTGTGGCTGTAGACTTGGAGACATTGATATAGGTATTTTCTCACTAAATGCTCCAAGGCCTCAGCTGGAGTGCTTTGTTAGCTTCAGGCCATGCTTACAGTTTAATGTTTTTATGTTTCACAGTCTAGCCAGTTTGGTTGAGGCCAGGATCCTGCCTGCTTCCCAGTTAGCCAGAGTACATCCCCCATTGTGGCTAACTGATTGAGCAAATATTTGTCCCCTGATGATTCCTCTAGCATATGAAATATAGCACTGCTTGATTTCTGTGTTTTGTTTCCTCATCTCTGAAGGCTGGAGAACTCCAATGTGAAACCTGACTTACTTAATTGCTTTCTAATTAATTGATATTCTCTCTTCTCATTCCAGGGAAAGTATTCCCAGGGGTCATCACACTGAAAGAAACTTACGGAGATGATGTTGAAATTGTAAATACCATGGAGTATGAAGAGGTGTTCCAAAACATAACAAACTTTGTAAGTGACAATGGTTTTTTTTTTTTTTTTTTTTTTTTTCTGTATATTTACTGCTATCGTCAGTGTCCTGCAGACAGAGGGGATACACTCTGCCTTCAGTGGGGTACCTAGAAGAGTTTCACCTGACAAATCTACTCCTTTCAAAGAATGCTTCACACGTGTTTAGACCTGTTCAAAAAAGACTTGATTTCTGCCCTCAGATGAGTATCTGCATGACTCTTGCTGAAGTAATATACCTGAAATAAGTAATATCTGCATTTTAGCACTGCTTCTATTCTGGGAAGTTCTCACATAAATTGCTTTGCCTCTTTTACCATTCCCTCTCCAGAAACCATGGAGCTGAGCAAAGTTTTTCAACTCACTTAGTTTCTGATCTCCACTGTTTGCTGCGTGCTCAGTAATACTCAGTGTTATGAGTAAAAATGAACAATTTTTTTTTTTTAAGAAAGTTGACATTTCCACACTGCACAAACTTCAGAATGGCTGTCCAGCTGTGTCCAAATACCTAAATATTAAGCCTCTTCCATAAGCATACCAGTATGAGTATTTTAATGCTATTAGTGGATATTACACATTTTGCATGTTCTAGGACTATAGATAGAATCTGGCTGTGGATTTCCTGGAGAAATAAGATGAACTGTTTAATTTATACTGCCATGTTGAAACAAGTGGATTTGCTTATGTTGTTTTCTGGAAGCAAGAAAGAAGAGGTATTCAAATCTACCAGACAGCTGATCAAAAAATATTCACTAAATATTAATCAGAATACATAAAAAATTATTATCAACTTCTTAATGTTATTATATCTCTTCCTATGAATGTTTTATCAGAAAGCAATGAAAAATTGTCTCTCCAGAATGTTAAAAACTATTTTCCTCAATTTTTTGTCTAACATTTTTTCATGTTTTGGCTACAGAAGAGCATGACTTGACACATTAGAATAGATATGTATGCTAAAGTGAGAATAGCATAGAAAATAATTTCTATTTTATTACAAAGAAGGATGGTTTATCTTTTATTTCAGTTGACTTAGACATCTTATCCTTTTATCATGGTGCCTCCTGTTTGTGTGGCAGCTGGAGGCAGCTGCTTCCAGCAGTTGCTTCCAGCAGTTGTTCCCTGCTTCACACAGGATGAGGGAGAGCAGTGACTTTTCTATTGATCTGACCCCCAGTGCTTACATCAGTGCTGTGATTCTCCCTGAAAATCAACCTCTGACAATCCCACTTCACTGCATCTTAGAGGCACACGCCATCTGTAAGGATGCCTGCTCCTCCCCGTTCCCTCTACTTGCACACAGGCTGGTACTGCAGAGATGCCCTTCTAAGCATTGGGTCTCCAGGGGGTTGCTGTAGCTACCCAGCCAGCCAACCCTACTGCACTGCCTTACACTCATTCAGCTTAGGTCTCTTCATCCTTCCACTGCTTTCCCATACTCCCTGTTCTACAGCCCTACCCCACTGCTTCTCTTCTGCAATACTTTGCATAGTGGATATGACAGATCATCATGCTTTATTTCTGCCCGTGACAGTGTGTTCTGGACTAAAGCTTTACAGCTGGAGCCTCAGAACTTCATGGCATTTTGGTCTATGTTTCTGCTTGCCTTTAACTCCAATTAATTTATCTTTTGTAGTTTGAGTCTGTCTTCAGCAATTACACAGACTTCAAAGAGACTGTCATCATGAAAGTTCAGTAAGTTTGCCAGTTTGGTTTTTGCATGGTACATGCTTCCCACACACCCCCTTTTAATCTGTTTCCCATGGAGTACTCAGTTCAAGAAAGGTTATGGAATGAGTTCAGATTGGTATACCTCCTGCTAAAGAAGCTCATTCTTTTCACATTTTTAAACTTTCTGGGATGCTAGTCCCATTTTTACCCCATGGATTTACAATATGTCTATGAAGTGGACTGTCTGAGACAGCTCCATAGTGTCTATGAACAGGTCCAGCTTGGAGTTCCAGTTTAATTAAAGAAACGCCATTGTTACAGAAGGCAACTGCATCTCACTGTGCATCTGCTCGTTTCTTCTGATGGAAGGCTGAGCAAAGATGTCATTGAATGGGCTGTGGTGATGCTAGCTGTGGGCATAGGCCCTTTGCTGATCTAGGTAGACATTGATTAGGCAAACTGTTGTTCTAGCAAAGTTGCGAGGACAGTAACTTCCAGCAGAGCAGCTGTGACAAACACATGGGGCACAGTAATATCTTAAGGCACTACAACAATTTAAATACTTAAATGTATTTGTGTGCATATCTCAGCAGCCTGAAGTTCAGCTGAAGAGCAGGGTAGTCACACCTGTTCTCCACCTCACCCCAGGGACTTTCCTGTCCAGCTGAACCCAACCCCACCAGCATGCAGTTAGCAAGATATCTCTATGTTGCAAACAAAACCTTCTGAATTCATTGTGGTCATTCCCTGGATTATCCTCACCGTGCTCCAGGGTGGGTTCTCCATGTCATGCGTGGATGATATCACAGGCTGAAGTGAGAGTGTAAAAGTTAAGGTCTAGCAGACTGAGGTCCTCCACACTGCAGCTGGCTCCAGGTTAGCCCAGTAAAAAAATACTAATTGCATGCCAGCAGCACACAGAGGAGTGATGTTGTTACCATTAAATCCAACAGCCTTTGCTTACCAGCTACCTGTTTATACTTGGGTCTACTGGAAAGATGGCCATTAATGTCTTCCTAAACAAAACTTAATCTCATTTTCGGATGTCCTAGCAGCTACCTGCGTTGTAGGATGAAAAACACTCGGGGAGAGAGGGAGGTCTGGCAGAAAAAAACCTTCTCTAGTCTTTGCATCTAGATTGCTATCCATATGGATTATGTGAGACTTTAAAATGATGCTATCTGTACTTTTCAGACTTCAAAAAAGCAGAGCTTCTTCAGTGGATATAACAGTGATAAACCTGTTTACGGAGAACTCAACTGTAGAGAATGAAACAGTTACTCATGTAATAAATAATGCAACACAACGTTTCCCAGATGTCTATAGTTACAGAGGTATGTAATTCCTTACTGTGGAAGCAGAGAATCAGCAGAAACAAAGGTTCCTATGGTCAAAGCTGGTTAGAAGATTTCTGTGTGCAGCAAAGCCCATTGAAGAATAAGCATTTTGATTTTAAGGAGCTGAATGTTCAATCTTAAGGAATTTTGGCAACTCAGCCATTCAGTGCTAGGCTTTTTTTTTTTTTTTTTTTGTCTTATTAAAGCTTTCTACGTCCTGTGTAAAGAAGAGAAAGAAAATACATATTCCAAAGTAAACAATGGCATATTGATTTAAACCTGTTTTAAACAAATTTTAAACAAAGTATACACGGATATATACTGTGCTTCTGATAATAAGCCCATATTTAATTGTCAAAATAGGATGAAACTCTGTTTAGACTTCTTCCATAATTAACCATGGTAGTTGAAATCAGGCCTCACTGATTAGCTACTGAGATAAGTGATTCATTGGTCTAAACCAGTAAAGTCTTGTGTTACTAGAAGTGCAAGACTTGGAGAATGATTTTCTAAATAAAATATGGATTTTTTAATATGCTTCTATTTTGAAATCAGCTTTTGCAAGAGGTGTAGCTAATAATTAAAGAAGACCATGGTCTCTGAAGATGACTGTATCCACCTTAGCCATGACATTCCTTTTGCACTGGTTCTAAACATGAGGGTGAAATAGAGAAAACCTCAAAGCTTACAAAGCACCAGTGCAATCCTGTCCCTCCACTGCAAGTCACCCATTAAGGTTTCTAAACCATTCCCACCACTGGACATGGATCTAAACAGCAACATGCTGGGCAAATAACATACTAATATTTCTCATGAAGTGAGCTACATGCCCATAAATATGTCTGTGCCAAACTGTGTGAGACCTGGGCCTCATAGTTCAGTTGTAGAAAAAACTCAGGGACTAGTGCTGGAGTTTTTCTATAATTTTTTTAAGGTGAGTCAGAAAGTCACTGTTTGGAATATGAACTTAAAATTTCCCTCTTCGTGGATGAGGGGGCAGGAAGGTTTGGAGGCAGTTATAGGAGGCTGAGAAACAGGTCAGCAGATATGATGGAAATAATAACTGGTGAAGAGCAAGGGCAAAGAAAGGGCTAGTCCAAATGCCTGCAGTATTAATGTCCTATAAAAAGGACTTAAAAGGGTTTTTTTTTCCAGAATTGCTAAATAATTGATCTATGATTTACTGAACAGGTACACTGTTTTCTATGAAATGATATTATTAGCACTCAGGTTTGCCTCCTGACTGTTTCTCTTTTAAAGGTGAAACCCATTGTGATAGTTTTTGTGATAAAGAAACCACAAAATGCGAAGAAAAGGAGTTTCCAAAATGTGAATGCAGAAGCGGTTTCTCAAAGACAGAGTGGGATGATCGTTCCTGTTCAGGTAAGAATCTCGCTGCTTTATCTGTTCAGGAAAGGCTGATCTAGTTATTCCCTGTCTCTGTTCCTTTTTGAAGAGGGTACTCTGCAAGTATGCTGACCTCTAAAAATCAGGGAATCTGTACCCTATTAATAAAGCCATAGAAACACATTCTCACATTTCACTTCAAATGCATCTGTAATTCTATTCCAGTAGAATAAACTACTAAAGCCTAAGAAAATTATCACTGGAACTACTGAGTGGGCAACTCTTTAAATGCCTTGTTAAATCTCATTAAGAACTAGAACCTAAATGGGTAAAGGAGGGAACAGTTTGAATGCTATATTCACAGCCTTCTCTACTAAGATATCTTTTGGGAATAAATTCTTCATGTTACCTGGAGGCAACTAGGAAGGTGCTGACAGAGCTGGAAGTCTCATGATGCACTGTAATGATCTGTTAAAGCTCTGTGCCTTGTTGATAGTATTAGGATTCCATTACCCGTGTTTAGACAGGTTTTTGTGGGAAGAATGATTTGTATGATGTTTAGGAACTGTTAGTTTTCAGGGGTTTATTGGATTGCTAGTTTTGTATCTTTTAATGACTAATCTTTATGTTTCTAGCTACCCTCCACAGCCTGAGATGTGCCTTATTTTCTTCTTATAAAAACTAAAATTTTCATACTTCAGAAAAGAAGTCTAAGATACAAGATTTTTTAAGAAAAACATCGAATATGGCAAACACTTCTGATAAAATCATAAAAGTTAGCTACGATAAAGGCCAGTGAGAGGCAAACCGGTTTAGGCCCTTACAGCCCCTAACCTGTCCAAATCTGCTCCAGTTTTAAATCCATTTCAATACAAATCATCTGCTGTGAGATCAAGCTGCAGGTCAGTGCTTGTGTCTTGTAAGATGCACCCTAGCCAGATTTCCACCGTGATGAAGCTGGCTGGTTTTAAACAAAGATGGATTATTTTTAATTTTGTGCTTTGTATTTCCGTTTCTGACCTCCAAACGTATAGCCCTAAATAAGGCATTCTGGTGCTTTGGAGCATAACGAAGTTGTGTGTGTTTACAGTGCATTTCAACAACAACAACAACAACAAAACAACAAACAAGCAAAAAAAAAAGGAGGGGTATTTTCTCCAATGTTGATTGTTTGTGGGCTAAGTTCTATCCATTCTGTATTTTTTCTCTCTGAAAATACAGACTGTGCAAACTGTTCTGCAGTAGAAAACAAGAACTGTGTAAAAGAAAATGGGATTCCAAGATGCAAATGCATGATTAACTTCAAAAATAAGGATGGAAAATGTGTAGCGTGAGTACTCAGCTTTTTCTTGCGTTCTTGTGTTCTAGGCAAAGATAGGGAAGAAGAACACGTAACACGAGGTCACCCTCGATCTAGAAGAACAGGCTGCAGCTATGTGAATCAGAGAGGTGCTGAAGGTGGTTAGCAGGTGGACACATTCCCAGGGTGTCACAAGTTATAACATTTTAGCCACTTGGCATTAGCTGTTGTTCTGCATTCATAGCACCTCAGAGGAAAGTCAAGGTCATCTGTGAGTCAGTGAAGAGGATACACTACCTCATGCTTATTTTGCGGGTTGCCCACATAAACATAAACTATTCCTTCAGAGTAATTGCACCATGGAAACTGGCATGCTGAAGAGTTTAGTAAGCAACAGGCATTTGAGCAAGACTTGCCTCAAATCCCTGGAAAGTTTCCACTGATATCAGTGGGGACTCTGTTTCCTGATAACTTTCAGCCCTATGTTATTTTGTCTTGGTTTTCTCTCTGTGGGCATTTTTGTCAGCTCAGGATGATAACAGAGCAGTGTTCTTTGCTCGTGAAGTGGAGTGAGTGACTGGTTGTGCCCCACTCTTATGGATAAGCAGAGGGACCTTACTCCCCATATCCACTAATTCAGCATTTTGTGTGGTTATTGCTGCTGCACACAGAACACTTTTTACCATAAAGTCAATATATTTTAATTACAAGAAACTAGTATGGGAAGGAGATAAAGATATGCCAGTCCTTATAAACCTTATATTGAAGCTTTTGATAAAGACAGTGGGAGAAATTCCAAGTGTCTCAGAGGTGTAAGACTTATTTCTTTGGAGACATTAGGCCCCTTAAACATTTTTCAGGCTAAAACCCTGAAATTTTAAGTGGACAGCTTGCAACTCATTCTGAAAATCTTGGATTGTTTCATTCTAACAGTGAAACTAAAGAATTTAATCTTAAGATAGCATTAAAGAGGAAACCTATAACCACATTAAATAGCTGATAAAAGGTGGAAATATACTACTGTTTTGTGATCATCTGCTTAATCTTATTTTCTTTCTTATCTTTCCTCTTTTTTCTCACATGTAGTTGTCCCGTGGGCTACTCTGGGGATGACTGCAATAACAGTAAGTACAAGAATCTCTGACTTTTAATTATGGAAAAACATAATTTTTAAGCACAGAAAAATATCTGTTAATGTTTAATCTGCCTGAGATAAAAAAAAATAACAAGTAGTAACCTTTAGGAGTGCCACAATCCTGTACTAATAGCAGGATAATGTTAGGGGAAAAAAAAAAGAGTGAAATTCCACTGTTGCCTGGCATGAAAAGTCCTTCTTGTAACTCACATTCAGACAGATTCAGCAGCATTTTCTCTAATGACCTCTGCATTAAGCCCAGGAGTTTTAAGTCAAGCAGAGGTTATTTGACAGAAAAGCATTAAGTCCTCAGCTAAATACATGAATGCTGAACTCAGTTCCACTAACTGATTTGTTTCTCCTGTAATTAATCAATCCTTCTATTAAAACATTAGTGGATTGCTCTCATTTGAAATGTTTCTGCTTTAATATCCAACCACTGGTTCTTGTTTGTGCTTTACCTTGCAAGCACTGCATTGTATCTGGTACCCTGTACCAGTGAAGAGATGATGGCCCTAACTGTGTTATCCCATAATTGTAATCATCTGGACAAGCTAACCAGATGGGCCTTCCAAATATTTTTCCCTTTTCTGAGTCAGTTTTGCAGCTGTTCGCTGCACCTTATCCAGTTTGCACCATCACAGAGTTTAGGAGAGGACGTTCTTCATGCCTTCTAGTGTTTGCATGTGCCTAAACTCAGAACATCTAATACAGTCAAAGGCAGGCTGAAAATCAAATAGTTATGGTTCTTCACTTCTCACAACTGCTTTGGCTTTATTTTAGTAAAATCTATATCCTCATGTGTCCCTTTAGAGTCTCACACTACTGCATTCTTAAACTTACACATTTAACGTGTCTGTGTCAAGTATTTTTTTCTGGTTTTGCCTAAAAGTTTTGGAGATTGACCAATGGTAGTTGTAGTGCAGCACAGTGAATCTTGTCAGGTGTAAATGTTTGGTAGGAAGGATATTTTTCATCATATGAAACATTTTTCTAGAGAAAGTTTTGGGAATTTTGAGGCTGTTTTCATTTAAAATAAAGAGAAAATGCTAAATCGGCACAAAATCAATACATTATGAATTTAAACACGAATTTGGGACCTGCTAATCATAGACTCCATTAATATCCTCATCTTTTCCATATGGCTTTTGCTGGGTACTGATGTAAAAAGTTTGCTGAGCAATAGCCAGGAACACTTTACATGTGTTTGGCATAATATTCTTTTGAGAAATCATATTCCTTTTTGTCTTGATGTATGCTCCTGGGATTCAATGTGCTGGGCTGTTCTGCTGGCAGTGGCACTCTTTGTTGTTTCATGTTGTGTGTCTCCAGTACAGGCATTTGGTGTATTAAATGGCAAACACATAAATCCAGACTAGGACCTTCAAGTAGGTACAACCAGTAAGGATGGGTAGCTCAAGAGACACAGTCTTCACATCCTTATCTTGAAATTATGCCCTGAAGGACACAATAGGTTTGTTTTTCCTTACCACGACTATGCAGAGCTAAGACTAGGTTTTAGTGGCAATTCCATTCTCAGCTGAAGAAAGATAGAATCCATGTCTTCTTCCATTAGTCATGCTGGTTCTGCAGCAAGATCAGTAAAAACATAATTTCCTTGACCAACATTTTTTCACACATGGGATATTTATGCAGTGTTCATAGTGCCGTATGATAGATACCTCAAATCAGTGTGCTTTATGTGCCTAGAGCATGGAAAGAGCCTATGTGACACCTAACTACATGTTTTAGCAGCAATACTAGCTTAAGCAACCCCTACATGTTCCTAGTTGTTCCTGTCCCTCAGCTGTAACTCTGTGAAGCCATTCAGTGCATGGGATTAGAAATCTGAGTGAAGATCAAAATAGCCATCTAGAAGAGACACTCTTTAATACAGTTCAGTTCCTTAATTTATGTCTTTCTGTGTCCATAAACAGTCGCACAGAGACAGCACCAGGAGCCTGGGAATGAATAACATCTTCCTTCCTTCCTGCTTGCCTTCCTGCCTTCCTTCCATATTTACCATGAGTTTTCAATCAGTATTTCTTGTTTGTTTTGTGGTGGTGGGGTTTTTTTTCCAGATAGTGAACTCATCCTTATAATAGTGGGTACAGTGTTTGGAGCCATTATCCTGTGTTTAGTGATAGCAGTCTCCGTTGTTGCAGTAAGGTAAGATTGCTCCTTACAATTGAATAGAAGCTGCATTTCTGCATATTTATAGACAAATAATCAGAAATTTAGCGAGGGGCCAGGCTGTGAGTGTGGTTGCATGCCTAGTGAGGCAGACAAGTTCATTTAAGTCATGTAGCCATTAGAATTTGGCTTTGCCTGTCTGCTCTTCCCAGAAGTATTTATTCTGTTCCTGTGATTCAACTATGAAAGCTTCAGCCAAGTCTTCAAAATACACATCTGACCCATTAACCCTAACCCTGCCCTAGCCAGTACTGATATGGTATCTGGATGAGAGAAGCTGAGATTGACCCTCATGCCTGACATGCTCCTTTCAGCTCAGTACAGGTGGCATTTCCAGCCAAGCATCTCGTTAAAGCTTGCTATTCCTGGTGTACTGGAAAATTCCCAATTTCAGTTGCACCTCCTCACTTCTCTCTACAGAATAAACATAGAAACACTCAAGCAGCTCCTCTGCCTTTGCTCTTTGCACAGCCCAGGTAAAGATGCCTACAAGACCAGGCACAGCAGGGGCACAAGCTGGTGCTGAGTGCATGTGAGATATAGGGACTTCTGATCACAGAAAACTCAAACACATTGTTTGAGCGTCCAGGTGTAGCTGTAGGCACAAGGATAACTTTTCCTAACAGGGCCTAATGAATACCTCATTTCTTTCTCTGAATGGTCAGTTAGAGCTAGTGGTGATTAAGGAAACTCCTTCAGTCTAGGAACTAGCTGAAAGAGGCCAAAGTCCTCCTTTCTCTCTCTCAGCAATGTAGCCCCATCTGTGATAAGAGATGCCAAACTTTGTACTCTATCACTGATAACAAGGTTTTTGCAATAGGTATACTAGAAAAATCTGTTGCATGTTTCAGAATTGGACTAAACATTCAAAATAAGGTGAGAGTGGACAACTCAGTAAGCTGGACTTAATAAGTAAGGCACACTAAAAAAATCTTTCAAAACCTCCTTTGTTCTTTCATTTCCCCTGAAGAGCCAAACACAAACAAGATCCAGAGAAGAAGAGCCTGATAAAATCAAGATATTCCAACTCAAATCCCTCTGATGATAGACAGACCACAATATTCCCCAGAGTCCAGACCACTTCTGGCCACGTAAACACAGGATATCAGCCAAATAACCCATATGAGATGCGTTCTGCACATAGAGATTGTTATCCTGAAAGGGATTATGATGATCTGGTAAGTGTTTCACACAGGCCTTCTGGAATTGTGTTCCTGAAGTGAAGTGTTGTGGGCTACAGACATTGCTAGAATCTAAACTCCACTCTGTCCAGTCTCCCTTGATCTAGAAGGGCAAAGTACTATAAAGTCAACCAAACAACTGTAGCTGCAGCTGAAAAAATTGCCCTCAATACAGAGATCAGCACTTGTCTTATGAAGACCTTAATAAAGCCCCAGTAGTAATCCTTCAGCCACAGGAGGAAAATATGAAAAGCAAGTGTCAAAGCAATCGTTCAGCTGCCCAGTGGTCTGCTGTGCTGTAGGACATTGGTCTGCACTGACAGAACCCATCCCTCAGCACTGAGCACACACATGAGAGTCACGGGCTCTTACCCTCTGTGCCTCTTTTAAGGCAGCTGTAGTGTCGGTAGGTGCTGCAGTGGCACTTGCCAGCTGCAGCCTCACGCAAGATCCCCAGTCAGCCTGAGCTGGCAGTGGTGTCCTGCCACCTGCCCTGCCACTGCCCACGGCAGCCTGGGAGGGCCTCTGCAGCTGCCCGAGGGCCTGAGCAGTGCTGGGATGGGATGGGATCTGCCTGCTGGTCCTGCACCCATCCAGTCAATAGGAAGCACGTTGTGCATTCAAACCTCGTTTAAATGGCATTTTAGCTCCACCTCTGTGGTGCAAGAAACTACCCGTTTAGTGAAGAAAATCTCTTTAATTGTAATACATTTATGTGTTTTGCAGAATTGAGGCCTAAACCATGACAGAAGCAACACCTGGTGTTTAAAAATAAAACAAAACAAAACCAACAAAAAACCAAACCAGACCAACCTTGCTTTTAAAAAGCTACCAGTTAAAGAGAAGAAAAACATCTATTTAGTTAGTTGATTGATCAGACTCACATGGATTGCCTCTTTTCTAACTTTCCAAGTGTTTCAGCTTGTCAGTGATGAAAATCTGCCTGTTTGGTTTTCTTTGAGGGCTGGTGTGTCACAGAGGGAGAGGGCTATCCCCTGCAGCGTGCTACATGCTAAGCTATTCTGAGGAAGGGTTTTCTGACCCATAGCTACACTTTATTCCTTTTCTTTTCTTGTCCAAATTCTCTATAGTATGAAGTATCACGGGAGCCTGAGGGCTTTAGGATGCAGAGGAGGTACTAAGTGACCAGAGCAGTAGAAGGATGGATGACCACCACAACAATGGGTCAGACCAAATCATTTCACAGCCTCTCACCAGTGCAGTTACTTCAGCAGAGAAGACAATAATGTTCATAACTCCAGATCCTCTGAAGATTTTTTAAAGGAACACCCCTGCTTGAAAGAGATCATGGCCAACTCTCTGAAGTATGGGGAAGATAAAGCAAAGGGTGGGGAGAAGAAGAGGACTTCTTTTTAAAGGATTTCTTTAGACTTCTCTCAGGAGACCTGTACATTAGCAAAAGAGCAAGTTTAGACAAGATACCAGGATTTTAACCCTGCTGGTTTTCAGTTCTTCTGGAAGATGGTCCAGGCAACACTTGTGATGCTGAAAACTGTAAGCACCCAGAGCTTTGCCTGTATTTGTGCTCACTCCATTTCAGCTACAGGCAGCCTGCATGGCTTTGGGCAGTTTGAAACTGTTTTCATGAGAACCCAGCCTGTTTCTCTTTACTATATCAGATACAGTCTTTTCCTCCTCCTCAACCCCCCAGTACTGCCTATCTGAAAACATTCTGTTCAGTTCTCTGCTGATGTGTTGTGTGAGGCAACGGTACTTGTCTGACCTTTTACACACCCTTTCTTCCGAACACAATGACAAGAAACAATAACTTCAGACAAACACTATTGTTCTCCTTCTTGCACAGCTACATTGATTTTACATTCTCAGCTCCTGTGGATAAACGTTACTTTTTTTTTTCTTTTTTTTCTATTGGACTCTTTACATTTTCAATTAATGATCTTAAGGTATTCTTTCCTTTTTCATCTTACATACATTCAATAAATCTGTCTGTAAAAGAATCCACATTTTACTGTACTTCACTGAGTGTGTATTATCTATTGACTAGCATTAACATTTTCTTAGATATATAAAACATATATATGCACAAATATGTACATATATTTATAGCTTAACTTCATGTGAAGCATCACTTAATTCCATGTTATATTTTGTGTTTTGGGTTTTATATATGCAGATTCACTTTTCCTATTAAAGATTCTTGTTTCTCAATACCAAGGCTGTCCTATGTTGCTGCTCAGTGGTGTTAAGTGTTTTTCTCTGCAACTCTGGAGACTATTTTATGTTAAGACCTGTGCAGAGTTTAAACACAAGTGTGCACAGACTGGCTGCATCAGCACCCTGCTTTCACTCAGAGGTGAAAATATTATGAAATCTTAATAATCTGATCAGAAATATTATGAAATCTTAAGGAAGCTAAGACATTTATTGTTGTAGGGCTGGCACAAATTTTCTGTGATCAGTTCTGGTGGGAATTGAGTAGTTATTACAGCTGGGTCTCCTTTGAAAATGCTGGACAAGCTGCTCTCTGCGATGGCATCTATGTGCATACAGGTCTGTTAATGTCATACAGCTTAAAAAGGAAGTGTCTTTCAGCTTAAACAACAAGTTTGGGGGCCATTTGTAGAGCATGCTGTATGTGGCTGTAAGGGTTACCAGAATGTGCATGCAGACTCCTTGTTCTAGTGCTCCTGGTAGTCAAAACCAGCTCCCATTCCCCAGCTGTGTGATTGAAAACTGGGAACTAAACAGTCCTGATCATGTGGCTTCTCTAGCAAAACCAGGTAGCCCCAGCTCAGCTTTCTCTGAACTGCCTGAAATGAGCTGTAGTTCAGAAGTAGCCTGGTGAGAAAAGGTGCAATTTTCTCTATGTTGTTTCCCTGGGTTTTTGTTGTTTCTTTCTTCCCGTTGACTCCTGTCCCCTTTGCTGCTGTCACCTGGCTGCACAATGCCTGCTGTTGGCAGGTGTCTGTAGGAGGCCAGGTCCTGGTGGCCTTAGCCGCCCTCCACTGGCTGTGTGTATCTCAGCATGCATAAGGTGATTTTTACTCCACTCAAGCAGGGCTAGCTGGATTTAGCTGTTCATGATACTTTATTCAAAGAATGGTAGAGATTTGGTCTTATTTTCTTGACCTCTCATCTGAGAATACTCACCGGTGAGGAGTGAAGCACGGCACGGTGGCTGCCCTTAGCACAAGAAAGGCTCCATCCCTCCTCCAGCTAGGAAAGCCCTACAAGGCGACCAGCTCCCCTCCCCGGCAGTGCCATTAATGCATGGCCCCCCACACCTGCTGCCCCTTCGTTTCCTCTGAGCCCTGTATGTCTCCACTGTTCCCCAGATGAAGGAGAAGCTCCCTGCTTCTAATCCCTATGCTAATCCCATGGCAAAAAGTCATGAAGCTCAGTGTAGGTTTCTACTTTGTTCAGCCAGCTGCTTGGGTACCGTGTCCTCCATGCCACTGTATGGCAGACTGAAACTTGGGTTGTGTGAGTCTAATAAAAACATTACTCTATAGCAGGAGCAGGGAGGATATCGTGCCCCTGTACTCAGCACTGGTGAGGTCACAGCTGGAGTACTGTGTTCAGTTTTGGGCATCACAGTGTAAGAAAGTCTTTGAGGTGCTGGAACGGGTCCAGAGAAGGGCAACAAAGCTGGTGAAGGGTCTGAGGAACATGTCTTATGAGAAGTGTCTGAGGGAACTGGGGTGGTTTTGTCTGGAGAAGGGGAGGCTGAGAGGAGACCTTATTGCTCTTTACAACTACCTGAAAGGAGGTTGTAGTGAGGTGGATGTTGGTCTCTTTTCCCAGGTTACTAGTAACAGGACAAGAAGAAATGGCCTCAAGTTGTGCCAGGGGAATTTTACATTGGATATTAGGAAGAATTTCTTTCCTGAAAGAGTGGTGAGGCACTGGAACGGGCTGCCCAGGGAGGTGGTGGAGTCATCATCCCTGGAGGTGTTAAAAAAAACGTGTAGATACGGCACTTGGGGACATGGTTTAAAAGTCATGGTAGTGTTGGGTGATGGTTAGACTTGATCTTAGAAGTCTTCTCCAGCCTTAATGATTCTATGATTCTATATCAAAAGTAACAGCCCATACATCGTGGGCTTTCATTGAGGTAAACTGCCTGGTTCCATCAGCTTAGTGCAGACGATCCTTAAAATACATGTAACAGTAGCCTGCTAGAGAGAGGCATGACAAAGCCTTTTAAGTGTTATCTTATTCTTTTGCAAAGCAATAGCGGTTGGAAACACAGATGAAAGCTCAACAATAAACGAAACTGTAAAGCAGTAAAACTTTACTGAGGGTGTGATATCTAGACATTTGCCGTCACTGATAATAAAGCAGCAAAAAATAGTCAGGTGTTTGTGTCATTCAGCTGCAGAGAAGTTTTCATTGCTGTAGGTCAAAGCTAATTTCTACAACTGCAGCCTGTTCTCATTTAGCTTGTGCTGGGGAGGGGCTATCAGCTACTGCTGTAAGGATACTACTCTTTAGCTTTTCAAAGGCTGCTATGGCTGTTTTATCTGGACTGGAAGTCTCTACTGAAAGGGCAAACTCTCAGAGATATCGCTTCTGTTTGGCTATTAATAAAGTGTGATTCTATTGTGAAATACGATCATGGAAAATAGCTCCTTGTGTTTTTTATGACTGCTGCCACTTTGCTCATGCTTGGTTTCAGCTCCCTATCTTTGAAAATCCAGCTGGGTATGGGAAAGGGAGATGAGTGTGACCCTCACCCACTGGTGTGAGAGAAGACAAGCCTGCAGGCAGGATGAAAGGCTTCAGGGAACTTCCACAACTCATTTCACATCCTGGGATCTCCTAACAATCATCTCCCTTGAGATACAGAGTGTCCTGATGGCATGTAACCCGCTGAGGACATGGGATGATGGTGCCACTCAATCAGCCACCTACTTCTGTCCTGACCAAATATTACACTAGAGAGATTGTTTGGCAAATCTGCACTAAAAGGGTGTACTAAGAAATGCTAAACGTGTTGAGGACAGAGGTTTGCATGGTTAAAACACATGCTTGTATGGGGGTATAGCAATGGCTTAAGT